ACGCTATTTGCTAATGGTGTGTCTAAGTGATATAGATGGTGTTCGGGGAACACTAGAAGTATTTGCTAAGAATGCCCAGTTCTCCTTGGAGGCGCCACAAAATCATTGTGAAGGTTTTGGCCGGTAAAATTGCGGCATTAAAAAACCGGCATTCTGATTTTCTCCTCCTAGGGCTGGTGTCCAATAAGAATTTCCCACACGATAAAAAAAAGGGACTAGCTAGAAAAAAAGGGACCAGAACTAAATTGAAATATATCAAAAATATACAAGTGTTGATTAAACTTTCAAAAATGACATAATATTTTAGATAATATCACTTCTAATTTAGATTTAATAGAGGTCTAAAAACAGTAATAATAAAAAAGGATTTTTATAAGGAATTTTTCCGAATAAGCTGTTTACATATCTCTCAAGCAATATACTCTATTTGATAGTTATCTATCAAATAAAGTTCGTAATACTTAAAATCGCAGATTTAATTTTTTGAAAAATTTTAAATTTTAATTTCATATATACTATTATTTATTTATATAGCTAATTATCTACTTATATATCTAATTATATATATTATAAAAATCAACATTCTATATTTTTTTATTGTTTCAGACAAAGGGAAACGAAATGAAAGTAAATATATGAAATAAACGCAATTGACTTTTTTATATTTCTTTTTTATTTATCGTTCTTCATTATTATATTCTCTTTACTTTATAAATACATTTATACGTTATAGAAATGTATTTCATATTTAAATTTTATTCGTTTCTTTTTAAATTTCTATTTAAAACGAAATTTAATAAAAATTCGATTTATGCTTTATACGAATATCATTAATACAACTAATTTTAATTTTCAATATCTTAATACTTGAAATATAACGGAAAAAGAAAAAATATGTAAATCAAAAATAAAACAAAAGAAACGAAAATCCTAAGATTTAAAATTTTTATTTTATTTGTCATTTTATTAATATAATATATATATTAAAACTTTATTTATCGGTTAGACAATTATTTTTTTTTTTTATCTTTTGATAAACTTGTTTCATTCTTTATTTTAATATATCATCGTACTCGACGAAACGGTCCTCCGATTTATACATTATAAAATCTTTATTCTTCGATATTTCTTTTATTCAATATTTATATTTATAATATTATAATTATTTACATTTTAATAATTTCTTCATATAGCATTATAGAAACATTTTTATTCGAAAAATAGAGAAATTCCGTTCCGCTCGTCTTCGAAAAATAATTACATATAATCGATGCATATTCAATGATAACCATATGCTACGAAATATGTTCGCTGTAATATTTGTAAAATATTAATCTTTAAAATTTTATCAATTGTTGTTATAGCGTTT